GTCTGCTGCAAGGGGCCTCGGGGCCCCCCAAAGGGTTGCTGCTTGGGGGCCCCCCGTTGCCGCTGCTGCTGCTGCTGCTGCTTCTGCCGCTGCTGCTGCTGCTTCTGCTGCTGCTACTGTTGCTGTTGCTGTTGCTGCTGTTGTTGCTGTCTGCTGCAGTTGGCGTCCCTGAGAGTTGTGAGGGCCTCCCTATAGCGAGCCACGTCTCGATAGCAGCAGCAAACAGCAGCAGCAGCAGCAGCAGCAGCAGCAGCAGCAAGTTTATTCGTGCTGCACTGCGTCTTATAAGACAGGGAGAAGAGGAGCAGCAGCCGGTGCTGCAGGTTGTTTTGTTGTATCTGTGTATGTGGCTGGATGCTCTTGTCTTTTTCGCTGCATGCGGTCTGCTGCTGCTGCTGCTGCTGCAGCTTCGTGCTGCTGTCTGGCTGCTAGCAGGCAGCCCCTTCTTTGCTGCTTCTTGCTGCTGCTTCACTGCAGCAACAGCAGCAGCAGATAGATTGCTGCTGAGGATAAGTAGACAAACAGACGAGGACTGGGAAGCAAACAAAGAACTAAACCAAAGGCTCTTGGGGGCCCCCATGGGGCCCCCTTCTGCTGCTCCCCTCAGCAGCTTCACGCTGCCTCAAGACAGCAGCAGCAGCAGCAGCAGCAGCAGCAGCAGCAACGCCGGGGGCCCCACACCCTATATCCTCTCTGGGGGCCCTGAGGCCTTCACAGTACTGAACTGCTACGGCAGCCATGTGGAGACAGACCCCAGAGGAGTTTTGCATGCGAGTGAGCAGCAGCAGCAGCAGCAGCAGGAGCAGCAGCAGCAGCAGCTGCAGCTGCAGCAGGAACAGGAGCAGCAGCAATTCAAGACCGCCAACTCTATAGCCTTTCGAGAACACTTCCGCGCGGCAGCAGCAGCGGCAGCAGCAGCAGCAGCAGCAGCAGCAGCGGCAGTAGGGGGAAAGCCACAGCAGCAGCAGCAGCAGGAGGAACAGCAGCAGCAGCAGCAGGAACAGCAGCAGCAGGAACAGCAGCAGCAGGAACAAGAGGGAGAGCAGCAGCGCATGCGTTCTCTTTCTGTCTCCGAGCCAACAGCCCCAAGCCAGGTGTGCGAGGAGCAGGAGGAGGAGGAGCAGCAGCAGCAGCAGCAGGAGCAGCAGCAGCAGGAGCAGCAGCAGCAGGAGCAGCAGCAACAGCGGCAGTTGTTGCAGCAGCAGCAGCAGCAGTTGCTGCTGCAGGATAACAACCTAGATACAGAAGAAGAATATGATGAAGGAGACACATCGTCAGAGCACACGGAGACACCTGTCTCCCTGCTGCGTAGTGAGGCTTAAGAAAAAAGCAGCAGCAGCAGCAGCAGCAGCAGCAGCAGCAGCAGGAGCAGCAGGAACAGCAGCAGCAACAGGAGAACCAGCAGCAGAGAAAAGAACGTAACGGGGGAAGCAAGGTAGAGACAGAAGAAACAAAAAAAAGGATAGAGAGACAAAGAGGAGACAGGAGAGACAAAAGGAGACAGAAAAAAAATACAGAGGAAACAAGAAAGAGACAGAAAGGAGACATAAAGGAGACAGAAAGGAGACAGAAGGATATAAACCCTGCAACCTCTGTCTCCTTCAGGAGACCCCACATTCATACAGCTGGGGGCCCCCCTCTGAGGCTCTATGGGGGGCCCCCATAGACGAATGTATGTGGGGGCCCCCATACACGAGTATACGTGGGGGCCCCCTTGAAGGGTTGTATGTGGGGGCCCCTACTGAAGACTGTATATGGGGGGCCCCCAAGCAAAGGCTATGAGGGGGGCCCCTGGGGCCCCCTATTGAGTAGTGTATATGCTGGGGGCCCCGTTAGGGACTGTATATGGGGGCCCCTGGGGGCCCCTCNCCCCTATTGAGTAGTGTATATGCTGGGGGCCCCGTTAGGGACTGTATATGGGGGCCCCTGGGGGCCCCTCGGGTCCCCTGCTGAGAATTGTATAGGGGGGCCCCTGGGGGCCCCTACTGAGAGTTGTATATGGAGGGGCCCCCGGGGGCCCCCACTGAGGATTGTATATGGGGGCCCCTGGGGGCCCCCACTAAGGATTGTATATGGGGGCCCCTGGGTGCCCCCACTAAGGATTGTATATGGGGCCCATGGGGGCCCCTATAAAGAACTTTATATGGGGACCCCCAATAGAGTCTCTGCCTGGGGGCCCCCGAGGGTCCTCTGTTAAGGAATTTATATGGGGGCCCCCATTCGATGCTGTGAAGGGGGCCCCCTGGGGGCCCCTATTAAGGACTGTACAGGGGGGCCCCCATTAGAGGTTGTATTTGGGGGGCCCCCAATAGGGGTCTGGTGCCCTTACTAGGGCCTCTATATGGGGGCCCCTATCAGGAGTTTTATATGGGGGGGCCCCCGTATATGTTGTACCTGGGGGCCCCTATTAGAGGCATCAT